CGACAGTCATCAACAAATACTCATTGAAAAATTTTCAATTATTTTTCAAAAATAATTCATTGAAGGAGCAGATAATTTTACTGGTACCCAAACATATTTGGGTATGTTGGTTGGTTCATTATGTGCGCTAATGGGTGTATTAACCATTGCATTACGGTGCCAGTTATCGTTGCTAACTTTTCCAATCTTTACTCTCATTTGCAAGTAACTTTCTTTTTTCTTTTTTTAACTTATAAAAATTGCAGGAAGCATAAAGTGAAATCCGTTTTGTCTTAGAATTTTCAAAAAAGTAATGCTTGAATTTGATATTTTGCATTCATTGTTAATTATTGTGCTTCTTGGTTCCTTTGTGACATTTTATGGCTTCTTACTGTGACATCAACCGATAGCTAGGTGAAATTGCAGCATGTATTTTTCAATCTTGAAATGTAGCGAATTTCTCTCAGACAATTTTTTCCACACAATTTTCATTGAGCTTAATCTTCAGTGATACTAAAAAATCAGAATTTTATTAAGGTTAATAGTTGGCTTCTTCTTTTATTCCTTGAGATTGAAATTTAATCGATAATATTAAAATTCAACCGTTAATATTTGATCTTGATAGGGTGAGAATGAAATTCGACCGTTAATATTTGATCTTAGCAGGCTCGTGCGAAGTTACCAAAAAAAAGGCAAATACATGAAATTGAAAGATCGCTTAAATTTCCTAAATCAATGAAGAAATTACAGGAGTCAGAATGTAAAGTTGACTTAATTATTTACTAATTTTTTTAAGTTCTTCATTATTGTTAATGCTACAAATAATCGAAATCGATTACTTTTTTTACTTCATCCAATTTTATTTCCCTGTTAACTATTCATGATGATAGTCTCATTAATTCACTTAAGAATTACTTTATTTTTCAGAATCATTGACATTCTTGCAGCTCAGTGTTATCGACTATCAGAATCAAACTTCATGGCTCGAAGTTTGTACTCATTTATCAAGCAACTTTTGTTTGGAAAAAAATTTAATCGCTACCAAGTGATAAATTAATGAGATAAAATTTGATTGCTGTCATTTTCAGAACTGATTTTCAAATTTTGTTCATTGTTAATTCCACAAAACGCTCAATCAATCTTACATTTAACAACAGATATGCTTTTCTCTTTTGTCATTCATGCTTTAAATGTGAAAATCTTGCTTGTCACCACCCATAGATCCGTTTCGATCAGTTCCTCGTCGTAAGTGCATTTTCATTGATAATTGTTTGTTTTAATTTAAATTGAACATTATGCCTTTTCTATTCTCTTAGTTAATAACAGATAAAAAATTTGCATATGTAATTAAAAGATTAAGGAATTCAATTGTCCACTCATCTTCAATTCGACTTTTATTGGTTCGGTTATCAATTTTTGGCAAATGCGCTCTTGATTTATGCCTTCGCTTTGTTTACTTTTTAATGCATTGTATAATGATTATTTGATAATTTTTTTCTTTGTTACAGCTTTATGGGAATAATGAATTTTGCATATTTCTCCTCGAAGTCAATCAATTTGGTATTTAATAGGATCGAACTGTGGGTACCATATGATACTTTACGATTTAGCTATGCACAGAATGAATACAGTGAACTTATGATGATATGAATTTTATACAAATATATTGAAATATCAATTAATTAACAGGTGAAATGAAAAGAAATAAATTAAAGCATATTTTTTCGGCTATGTCTTCACGATGATCTGTTTTTGATAAACCTCAAGAAGGTAGTTTAACATACCGTATATCACTGATTGCTTCTGAATACAAAACTTTACTTTTCAAAGATATGTCAATAGATTCTTAGAGTTGCATGCACTTGTCTAACCCTCACAATGTTGCATGCAGCTTTCTGACCCGCAAAATGTCGCATGCACCTTTCTGACCCTTAGAATGTTGCATGCACTTAGCTGACCCTTAGAATGTTGCATGCACTTAGCTGACCCTTAAAATGTCGCATGCACTTGTTTAATTCTCAGAATGCACTTATCAAATTCAAATTTTCACCCAATAACTGTGAGATTCTCAAGAAGGGCATAAACAAAAATCAATTGGTTTACTGTAACAATAGATTTAAATATTAATATTAACTGTAAACATTGAAAAAACTGAATACATATTGTTGCAGTTCAATAAAAAATTGGTTAAATGTTACTTGACCTTTAATTCATCCATGCGGAAAAGGAAGCCTTATTTAGTTATTTGCTTTTGAAAAGCACCACATTACTGTTATTTACTTGTTTTAGATTAGACGGATACCTTTATTAGCATTAACTTTTCAACTCTTTGATGTTTTCAAATAATATCTAAGGTTAATTAGAAATTATTGAGTAATTTAACAAACACCATAATTTAAAGTTTGAGAAATCTTTCAGAAATTTTCATAATTAGTAGTATGACTGTTTCGTATTAATTTTATTGAGGTCATCTTTAGTTGAACTGAGATAAAGACCTTTGATGACGATTGTAGAAAATTACGATTAAAGAATGTTAAATGAAATGAATGGCACAAACAAAAAATACTTCAACAAATTCAACTTAACATATAAGTGAAAAAAAAATAGATTTTAATAAAATAAAAGTTGATCAAAGCGATTAATATTTGCAAAAATATAAAATGAAATGATGTGTTTGCAGGTTATTTCGGTAATATCCGTATTTTTTGTGATTATATCAATAATTTGTTTCTGCTTAAAGACACATCCAAATTTGCGTATTCCGGATATTGATATTGAATTCAGGAATAGTTCTACTCATGCATTATTCATCAGGAAAATCGCTACAAGGTAACAATTTTTACTTATCAATTACTCAATATTTCATCTCAACCTTTTTTAAAATCAATAAAATTTATGTACTATTTTTTTTAAATCATCCAATTATTGGCAATTAAAAATAGCGCATATTACTTCTGTATGTTTTTTTCGATCAGTCCTATACAGTTCGGTATGTATTCGATATGTAAATGTAGCTTTTGATTCGGAAACAAATATTAAAATCAGAAATTTTTGCTAATATCAAATTCTTTAGTCACTCTTCTTTGAAAACCAACGATTTCAATGTTGACAGTGCTGTTGAAAAATATTTCATTTCAACATTTTGTGAAATTTGGTAGTAATCATTGATAATACTGCTTTGATAATATAAAATTTCATAAAAATTTGATTACAAAACAAAAAATATAAGAATGGTTGAATAGTGAGGAATAATTACTGACATTAATCATAAGAATTTTCCTATGCTTAAATTTGGAAGAATTATTGAGTTATATTTAATTTCATAATTATGGAATGATCAGAAAATAGCAAAATGTATTTGTTCATAAAAATGGAGAAGATTGAATGACCAAAGAAGGAATATCCATTTGATTATTCTGATAATTCATTTATTGCATTCTAATATTGATAGTAATTTATGAAATTGAAAATAATCTCATGTCTCTCTCAATAAAATCATCAAATAACAAAAGAAACAAACAAAAAAGCAAATAATTTGAAGGAAAATATGTAATAACAGAATTGTCGAAAAAAAGCATGGAATGTAAAATTTACATTTATTTGTAAATTAAAATTTTTTGAAATTATTTCAGAGCACATCCAGCTTTCTTTTACATTGAATTTGTCAGTAATATATGGTTCACAATGGAATTATTCATTCGCTTCCTATTTTGTCCGAAATTATCAAAGTTTGCTCGACAACCGGTCAATATTATCGGTAATTCTATCCATACATTTTTTTTTCATATCCATAATTATCTAAAGATATACAAATATTCAATCATACCTTTTTTTTTTTTAAAATTACATAAATTGCAAATTCAATGCTTGCGCAATTACCAACAAATACTATTTTGTGTGTATTTAAATTATATTATTTTCCTTTTTTAAAAATTTTCACCCATCCTTTTTTTCAGATTTAATAGCGACATTGTCATTTTACGTTGACTGGGCATTGGATAAAACAGTAGCCGGTGCTAACCGTGATACTGTTGAATTCGTTTCCATTGTTCGAATTTTTCGACTATTCAAATTGACGCAACATTCCTCAGGATTGAAAATTCTAATTCAAACATTTAAAGCGTCTGCTCAGGTACATTTAATTAAAATAGTTTGTGAATATTTGCATAAGGCATTTAAATTAAATGGATAAAAGTGTTGCTGTTGTAATTGAAAACGATTTCTAATTCTTCGCTCTTTTTTTCAACATTTTTCCGCTTTAAATATCTTTTGTAATTCCACTAGAAAGTTGGATTGTTCATATTATGAAAATGTAATGAATAATTAAATTCATTTCAATTCTAATCCATAAAAAAAACAATTTAACGTTTCATTTTTATATTCGATTATTGAATTTATTATAGGAATTGTTGCTATTGGTATTTTTTGTACTACTTGGTATTGTAATATTTGCCGCATTAGTTTATTATGCGGAGAGAGTGGAAACAAATCCAGGCAATCAATTTCATTCTATTCCTATCGGATTATGGTGTAAGTATTACTATACTTTTTTCTAAAATTTTGAGAAAAAAGTTGAAACTGACCACTGTCCATTTGAAGTTCATTGAACCATCATAATTGCTTAATGTAAGAAGGATTGAAGGAATTCTTTGACTAGTTGATTCAGAATATATTTTACATTAATTAAAATAGGAATTCGAAAAATGAAAATTTATTTTTGTTATGAAAATATATCCTTTCTATATTTATAGGGGCAATCATTACTATGTGTACAATTGGCTTTGGAGATATGGTAAGCTCTCAGTTTGTGGTATTTAATTTGATAAAAATTTGAAATGAACTTTGAGAAGAAAGAAAAAACTAATCGATAGTTGAAGTAAATACAAAAATTAAAATCTTTTTTCATTACTTAATTCATTGCAAACAAATCTATGATCAAATCAATTTTCCCAAACATTTCACTCATTGAAATTCCATTCAATTTGTTAATTATCATTAAGCATGAATTTTACTCACATATATCTATCTAATTCTGTTTACCAATATAATTGGACAGTAAGGTTGATTTCAAAAAAAAGGAAATTATAATGAAATTAATTATAGGTGCCAAAAACATATTTGGGTATGTTGGTTGGCTCCATTTGTGCATTAATGGGAGTGCTAACAATCGCACTTCCAGTTCCGGTTATTGTCTCCAATTTTGCAATGTTTTATTCACATGCCCAAGCACGGTGAAATTTTCATTCTTTTCTTTCCTTCTTTCTTTTTTTCTTTCTTTCTTTCTTTCTTTATTTTTTTTTTGTTTTATCAATTTAATACAAATGAATTTTAATAATTCATAAATTTTGCTAAACTTTATTTCTATCCAATATTTTGTTCTCATTTTAAAATTTCAGATCAAAATTACCGAAAAAACGTCGCCGTATTTTACAACCGCATGAAATTAAACCGATAGTTGGAAAATTAGCAAATATAGGACTTTTTAATAGCTTAGCACATAAAAATATCTCGCCAATTCATTCATTGGGAGCTTTAACGGCAACAACGCCATTATTGATGTGTCCGCCGACGACAAATTTTACCGCTAATTTACAAACAAACGAAAGTAATCAAACTGGAACTCATTATCACATGAATGATAGAAGTAATAATGCATCGGATGGGGACAAAAATGATTAATATTTTAGAGAAAGTATATGATGACTGCTGTATAAAATTACTGCCATGATTACTTTATTGAAATTGTTAAATGATGCATGGAAGTAATGAGAAAATTTCACTAACCTCAAAAATAATATTTTTCTCAAAGACCTCTTTGAATTTCATTTTAGCATATTATATTTGACGTGTGATAATGATTGCATAATATTGATTTTCTCGGTGAAAAAATGGAATAGGAATAATGGGTCAAATAGGAATTTCGGAATGGAATTTAATGATAGAAAGAATTTAGTATGAAGAGGAAAAGAGAAATGAAATGGACTGCTTGACTAATTTATTTCACAATTAACTCACTTGCATTTCATATTTCGTTTGTTTATGAAAGGAAAGAAAATCTCGGATTAACTTACCAGGAAAAAACAAAATTTTCCTCATCTCTTTTTTTCTAAGTGATGAAAATGCGTGTAATTATTAAAATATTTCTCGTTTTCGTTGTTCAATCAATGGAAAAAAAACAATAATTATCATTGTCATCTTTATTATTGTTATTACTATCACTATCACTACTGTTATTATGAACAAAAATTGAGTGCGATTTCGAAATTTGAAATCTGTGAAGATTGAATTTCTCAATTATACAAACCAGTTTAGCATTCAATAACACAAGTGTCATCCTACCAATAAAACAAACCCGAACTCGCTGCAAAAAGCTTTTCTATTATTCAATTCTTAGATAGTCGGGCGAAGAATGAGGAAAAAGACAAAGTGAATATGTCGAAGTTGTCGGAAAAATATTGAATAATATCATTTTTTTAGGAGAGATGAAAGTTGGGAAGCCGCTATTTTTCTGGATGCTTTTAGAATCCTTTAGAAAGTCTATTCCTTACTTTTCGGACTTTTCGTCAGCCACTAAAATAGTGATTGGACCTTATCACCATTTACAATCATTATCATTATGCAGAAGTATTAGTTTTAAGGTTTGAAAGGTAATTTAATTTAAAAAATAAATATAATTTCAAATTTTTGGAACCTAAATCGTAGAAGCAACCGAAGCAAATACAATCTATTAAAATTTTGAAAAAAAAGCACTGATGCATTAAGTTGCTAGCTAGTACTGAGAGATCTCGAGCAATTTATCCCGAGTAATATTGTGACAAGCTTTCTATCAGTTCTGAGAGATAGAAAATTAACGCACCTTCGCTGATTCATATAAACCAGTTATATAATTTGTAAACATGGATGATAAAGACTTCAAGGAAGATGTTATCATTTCGAGTAATAACCGGAATAGATTCATATTTTACGTATGGATCTTTTCTGTCCATTTAATGACACCACATAGCCGGAAGAACAGCTGCAATTTGAAGAGCTGCTTTCAAAACTGAATAACTTATCATTAGCAGTAATTGAGCTAAAAGGTTTTCCTGAGATTTCGTAAATTCGTTTTTTCTAAACACCTTGAAAGATCGTATCTGCAACAAGAACTACAACGCTTTATCATTCATTATCAAATGGTGCTTTATCATTCACTATCATTTCCTGTTTACTTGATTTATGCTACTATCAAATTTTTGCAGAATAAAACAATGAAACAAGGGATTGGAACTAATCAAATAAGCCAGAAGTCAGCATTTGAAATCATATGAGGATATTAGAATTAAATTCAAACTGATAAAAGAAAATAATCATTAAAGAGATATTAAATATTAGAATAATCACTGATTAATGATCACACTGACAATAAAATAATGATAAAGGTAATACTAACAATAATAATAACATTTGTAACAAAAATAACAATAAAATAGCAATAATGATAGTTAATAATAACAATAATAGCGACAACACAATAAATCAGCAATTTATTTGCTACTAGTAATTTATTAAAATGACCGATAAATCTAAGAATTCCTAAGTATATATTTGAAGAGAAAGACAAAATTTAATATATAGAAAGCATCAAAAAAAATTTTTCATTTCATGTAAAACATAACTTTGGCATAAAATTATTAATATATGCCTGAATTCGAACAATAAATAAAACCTCGAATAAATTCATTGTTCATTATCGTTCGTACAAAAGTGATACCTTGTGATGTTCGTTTAATGTTTCTGATAAATTTTGCCCATCAAATTTATGAATTTTGAAACTTTAAAACTCGCATTTGTTCAAACCTTTTTTTATAGCTCATCTAACATTCATATATAATATTTTTGTATGCAAAATATTTGTGTTTTTTGTAAGATTTAGTGAATCGTTTTAAGTTGTAAAACATCGCTCAGACATAAATTTAGATTTGAATGAATTTATAAAAGATAGAAACTATACGAGTAATATAGCCGATATGATATCTATCGAATTTCGATAGATATCATATCGGCAATATTACTCGTATAGTTTAAACACATTTTTTGTTTGAAATTTCAGAAAAACACAAAATGAAAGGAAAATAAAAATTAGTAAATTAAATTCTGCTAATCTCATATAAATTAAATTTATTTTCTAATAACAAACTTTTCACTAATTTTTTCTGCACTTTATTTTTTTCCAATTCTATGCTGTAATAAAAATCATCCGATCAATTTTTGCCAGCAAAATTCATGCCATTTGTTTCACAAAGAACGGTACCTAATCTTAATCTTTTTTAATTCAAATAAATTTTTAATAACAAATCGATCAAATTTTTTATTGATCAACAGTTAATGGTAAAATTTTTTGCATATTTCTTGCTGCAGAAAGAAACAAATTACGTCAGTTTTAAATGCTTCAATTTCGTTTAAATATAAATAAACGGAAGCATCAATTTAGGTATAAATGAACGAAAACATTTCTTCTTACTTTATAAACAAATAAAAGGAAAGAGAAATGCTAACACGAGCTATTATCTTCCTAGCATTGTGCAGCGAAATTTAATTTACAAATCAAATGGCTTATTGGTACTATCAATAAACTGTGATGATGCTTTAATTTTTCACCGATTAAAAAACAAAATCTTTTCCATGCAAATTTTGTAAAATATTTTAAATTTTACCATTGAAGCATGCCGATGTGAGCGTATTTAATAGCATCAACTTAGATGGAAAATATTTTATGCAACAAATTTTATTAATTTCATATTATTAGCAGTATTACTTTTTTTTGTTACTTGCAACATTTCCTGACAAAATTTCATTGTTAACATGAAATGGAAAAATTGATCCCAACCGGAATAGTATATTTTTGTTCAACATCTGCAAGCTAATCCGTATCTGAATTTCCTTTTTACGTTTTAACAATTCTAATTTGCATCATTTAATAATTTCAAATTTTCTATCCAAATTTTTTTCGTGAAGATTTTATGAAAAAGTATATTTTGTAAACTGTTAAAAATGGTAAGCACTTAGTAAACAGTAAAAATATTGCATTAAATATATTTGTAAAGCCAAAGTATTCATTCAAAAAAACAACATTTAATTCTAAAAAAAGAATTATATTTTTTATTTAATTTCATTACATTATTTTTTCAATGGAAATTTAAATTTTATTTCCCGCTTTGCATTTTTTTTTGCAATGATACATATGGTAATAAAAAGAAATCTTCGATATAATATAAAAACAGGTATGAAAATAATGAAGAAATTCGTTTTGATAAATTTTTAAAACATTTACACAAAAAAAACAAATCTATGCGCAAATTTCATTGAATCAATGCAGAATTTTTTTTCCAAAATAAAAATTTTCATTTGATTATAAAAGATGGCAAAAAATTAGCGAAAACGATTTGATATGTTACACTTTTTTTGGCAAATTAATTTTAAACAATTAAGCTATCAAATCAATGTCGAATATTACATTCAAATTTCAATATATACAATATAAGCAGACAAAACGATGCAAAATAATTGCATGCATTTGTTGCATCAGAAATGTATTCCGTTCTGAAAACAAAATCAAAATTCATTAAAAACCAAAATCGATACTTACGATTTGATTATTCACAAAAAAAAGGAAAAAAGAGAGAAATGATGCACCATATCACGAAAAACAATCATTTCCGGTATGAGACATCAATAACAGGAAAGGGTAATATTGGATGAATTGAGGAGATGATTTGAAAAAATTCATATATCGTTTTTGATAACACTAAAATTGTAATCAGCATCGAATTCATTGCATATTGATTAACACAAAAGCTAACATCAAATTTAGCTTTTAAAATCATGCATAAAATTCCATTCCTTAACGGTACGCCTTCTTTTTTTGCCAAATAGTGCAGACGTCTTTTTTTTTCGTTGATTTTGATCAAATCATTATTTAACTGTTCACGCTAAACCATATGCTTTCATATCATTCATTCACCTATAAAATGCAATTGATAATGCATTTTTGTTTGCAGTTAATCAATTTAATTCAAGCGCTTGCATATTTTATTGCTTCACCATTTTATTTATTAGTTAGACATGTAATATGTTTCTATCAGTTTATTTTGTTAGCTTTTGTTTTATTCAAAATTTTTTAATCATAATTTATGACATTTATTTTGTATTTAATTTTATCTTACTTATAATTTGAATTAGACAGTCTAAATTTTAAATTGCTGTTACCAGCAATCTAATTAGCGTGGAGTAAACTTGATTGATGCATTTTTTTAAGTACTAACTAACTGTGTTCTGTTTTACATTAGTGTAATGTTGATCGTAATCTAATAGTAAATGATCACAGATAAATAGATGGAGTTGATGACAGATAAAGCGTAAATATTGCATCTGCTAAATAATCCTCTCTATTTTAAGCATTTCAAAAGGTCATGAAATTTGTTTTCTCACGAATCCAATCAACATTTGGAATGAATTCTTTTTTCTAAAAGATGGGAAAATGGTCACAATTCTGTTCGAAGCTTAGCTTCTTGCTTACACTTTCATTTCTTTTTTCAATAACTTACAGCTTTTCATTTTTTTTTTAGATACAGGAATGAAACAATTTGCATGATAAAAGGGAGCGTATTGAAGTGCTTGAAAATGTTTTCCTTGAGTGACTT